ACACTCTCTTTGATGGAAACCAAAACTACCGACAGTCGATTTCAAACTTGTTTGAGATTTGTTTTTGCAAAATACAATTATATGAATATATATATATATATATATATATATATATATATATATATTATGTTTTAAGAAAATGTTTGCAAAAGGTTTTAATTCCCACGATCCATCTGAGTAGAGAGTGCAACACTGCACCTTGCAGCCTAGAGAGAAGTCTTCCCTTGTCGGGTAGTGTTTGATCATTAAGAGCTAAGAGGTTAAGTGTAAGACCAATTAAGGTTGTTATACCTAATGGGCTAATCTCACTTAAGACCATTGTCTCTGAGACTTCATAGGATGGATAGACTCAAGGACCATTTACTGTAAATGTTAGGCCCATTAAGARMCCATACTAATGGACTCAGGGGTTCRTTATGTTTGATAGTGAATTCGGCCAGGATTTTTCACARAAAATGGGCTGAACCCACTTGGGTTGGATTAATCAGTGAGCCCTTTGCTTAATGGGCCTAAGGCTCATGATTGATTGGATTAATCAGGGTGTCACATGACAGTTTAAAGCAATCATGCGACATGGGCGAATATGGGATGGATATGGGCTTAGATTAGCAATAGGATAAGAGGATAACTCTTATCCACTTAAGGAGTCCAGATCCAAATAAAGATTTGGATTAGGAAGCTCCTAATTGGATTAGGAGAGTTGATCTTTTAAGCTTATAAATAGAGGAGGGCAAACTGCTCCAAAGATCACCTTTCTGCTCTCAGTTTTCTCCCTCTGCTCTTACCACCCAAACCCTAGTTCGTTCTCCATCTGGTTCTCCATCTGGTGACTGATCTTGATCAGTCTTGGTTTCTGATTTTTGCAAGAAAAATCATATTTGCATCATGCTCACATCCCTTGTTCGATCCAAACTGTTGGATTGCAGTTCTTGCTAAAGGACTGCATTGTTGAACCGGCTTCACCCTGAGTTGTGCCATATTCAGTGGAAGCTGGTTTTGGTATCCTGTTTGGTCGTGAACACCCACTTTGGGAACTATACATGTGGAATCCGTATAAGATGTTCTTCTCCCTTTCTTTTGGTTTCAGATTTGGTCTGGTTCATTGCAATAACGATCCTTGAAAAATGTAGTTTTTCTAAACAAGAAGATTTATGAGAATGCTACCATGATTGTAAATAAAGAGAGAAGAATCGGAGTTAGAGGCCATAAAAACCGAACTCAACCAATGTGGAGCTTAACTTAGAGAACCAAGCACAGGGTGCTTGTTTCAAACCAAAGAGAGCCTTCTGTAGCATGCAAACATGAGGGGTATTGCGAATCCTCAAAGCCTTGAGGTTGGCACATATAAACAGTTTCATGTAAATCACCATGCAAGAAAGCATTGCTGACATCAAGTTTCCAAATCCGCCACCCCCAATTTAGAGCAATTCAATGATAGTTTTGATAGTGGTCGGTTTTACAACCGGGCCGAAGGTATCCTTGACATCAATGCCTGGTTGTTGAGAGAACCCCTGAGTGACCAACCTCGCTTTGTAACATTGAACGGTGCCATCAGAATTTTGTTTAAATCAAAAAACCCACTTGGAGCCAATACCATTCATGCGAAACTCGTAGGATACAAGAGTCCAAGTACCGTTTGCCATGAGGGCATCAAACTCTTCACATATATCTCTGTGCCACTCAACCTATTTATTTGCCTGAGAAAAAGAGGTTGGTTTAGTAGGCAATATAGAATAATGTGCTAGTAAAGCCTCTAATAATGGAGTAGATGCATAGGACTGAGATCTGGTAGTCATAGAGTGTGACCAAACCAGTGGAGGTGCTGGTTGAGCATCTCTCATGATGGAATCCACCGATCTCATCATAGGCTTAAGGGAGGGAGTGGGTGAGTCTAGAGAAGGAGGGTTGTCTGACACTGGTTCTGGTGAAGAAGAAACTGGAGGAGAAGGATCGGGTGCAAGGTGACAAATAGAGGGAGCAGAAATATAAGTGCCTTGGGAAATAGGGGGGGTGATGAAAATGCAGTGGTAGCAAATGGGAATACTATTTCATGAAAAACAACATCCCGACTAAAAAGAACACGACCCGTAAGTGGATTTAAATAGCGATAGCCTTTATGAGCCTAGTTGTATCCTATAAAGATATGAAGAGAGGACCAATATGCGTATTTTTATTTATTAAATGGGTGGAGGCAAGGATAGCAGCTACAACCAAAAACTTTCAAGATGGAATAGTCGGGTTGTTGTTTAAACAAGAGTTGATATGGTGAAGAGCCTTGTAGAACAAGTGTAGGCATGCAGTTGATGAGAAAGTAATGAGAAAGTAAGGCCATTTGGATGGCCTCATTGCAATATGACAAAGGCATAGAGGAATGAGAAAGTAAGGCCAATACAGTTTCAATAAGATGTCTATGTTTGCATTCCGGAACACCACTCTAGGCATGGGCATGAGGGCAAGAGACATGATGATGCTATAGGGGCAGGACCCCAAATATTAGAGTAAACTAATTCTAGGGGAGACAATGATCGATTATGAACATTAGTGTATGGTAGGTGATGACATTTTGAAATAAGACAATGATGACAAATAGTAGAAGTTGCAGCTGAAGAACCAATAGTAGAAAGAACTTGTTGAACAATTCTGAATGCTGGGTGACCTAGTCGATAGTCCCAGGAATAATAGGAGTCAAGAGTGTGAGATAAGGCAGCAGAAGATGATGCATTCGGTGGCAAAAGTTCATAGAGACCATTGATGCATTAAGACTACACTAGCAAGTGCACTAACCGACCAAGTAATATATTGATGAGTAGAGTATCGTTCCCACGAGGATTAATCCAACAATTACTAGTATTAAATCTGCCTTATGTTATCTGACAATCCAAAAATCAAAGACTTACTTCCTAATTAATGAACTATCCTAGGTATTCTCAAATTAAACCACCTTAATCAATTAGAGAAAGTGCTTCAGGAAGGTGCTTGCAGAATTGGTTCAACAGTTATATCACTAAGCTATCCAACTGAAGTTGATTTCAGTTGTGGGTCGGCGATTTCCTAATTGTTATGAACAGCCTCTTTTGAGCACATGCCAATCTATTTTAAGGGGTTGACCCAATACGGCACGATAGTGCGGGACGTGCCAGTCCAACCCACTGACCTGAAACCTTAAGCCCAAAACGACCCATACAATTGTGTTGTACCACGGTACAACCTGTGGACCATCAAGCCTGGCTATGTCGAGTCACATGCGGCATGACCCTATTTACACCTCTAAATACATCCTTATAGCTTTCGTTTGAATCATTCTTTTGTAGATGTGTAAAATGGGCAGTGCCGGGCTGGCATGGAATGGCCCGCGGGCCGTGCCGCCCTCCCCTAGGATAACTTGGGGAGTCAGCCCGGCATGGCCCACGGCCCAAACCCGTGCAGGTCCATGTCGTGCCATAGGCCAGGCTGGCCCATGGGCCAAGCCTTGGGTCAGGTCGGTCCATGGACTAGGCCAATGCTATTTATTTAAAAAAATTGAAAAAAATAACTTATAATTTGAATTTTATATAAATTTTGATGTATAAAATTACTTATATATATATAATAATTAAATAAATTAATATAATAAAATTGAAAACAATTATTTATTTTATTAATATATTATATACTATATTATTATATAGTTATGATTTATATAATATAATATATTATATATATAAATATATGGCCGGCCCCATTTAGACCTCTATTCTTTTGTTCGTCTCCATTAAGCGTTTGATCTTCTCCATCATGATGTCATGTGATGTCATGTGCTACCCTTGTCTATGTAATTTACTAATTTTTATGACATTTGTAATTATTTGCGGGGAGTACTTTTTATTCCCATCAATAAGATTCCCTCCTCGAAATTTATGGCCACATTGGAAGGCGCACTTTCGCACTTAAAGACCAATTTGGACATGTTGTCACAAGTAGACCTGTTCATGGGTCTGGCCGGGTTGGGTTTGGGTTGGGCTTTTACTCTTTATTAATGGAAATTTGTTAGGCCCGAGCCCGAGTCCGGCCCTGATAAAAAGCTCGAAGCCCGAGTTGAGTTCATCGGAGCTGAGTTCACGTTGACTGTGAGCTGCGATTTTAGCAGTGATCAGTTCGCGTCAGAGAGAGAGAGAGAGAGAGAAGGAGAGGACTCACCGTCGGAGTTGTTGCGCTGGTGAATGTTCGCCGCCTCGCCGGTTGTGTGGCTGGCTGCCTATGAGTGTGAAGACTGAGGACTGAGAACTGTGGAGGATGTAGAGAAGAGAGATTCGGCTGGAAAAAGAGGTGCTAGAAAGAGGGGTATTCGACTAGGGTTTTTAACTTTAATTATAGGTCGGGCCGGGCCGGGCTCAGGCCGGGCTATTTTGACAAATCCCGAGCCCGACTCGAATTTATTGTGGGCTAGGCTTTTTGGCCCAAGGTTAAGCCCGCAGGCCCATTTGCATGTTCAAGCCCGTTCGGGGGCCAGGCCGGGCTGGGCCGGCCCGTCGGGCCACTTGGCCCATGAACAGGTCTAGTCACAAGTGACCAATTTGCCGTACCACCAAGTGCCTTCACCACACCCACAGCCTGCCATGCAATGCCCCACCCAAGACACACATGGACACTCGGATGACACCGTGGGCGTGGTGAAAGCACTTGGTGATGCCACAAATTGGTCACTTGTGACAATGTGGCACCTAGATATGTAGAGCTACTACGGTAAACAGGTCGAAATATTCGGGCAGGACCCACAGACTACGATATCGGATCAAACCTGCGTTCGAACCAGATAACCACTTACCGATCACATCAAGAATCCCGGAACCCCTATCAACACACAATAATCATGGTTCCTGAATTCTGAATAACGTATAGCCTTAGCTGGTTTCAAGAACCCGAGATCCATTGGATACGACCCGTCCAAATGCATTATACATTTGAATTTGCACTGTCATCGTAAATTTAGCATCGATATCAAGGCACTCTGCCGTCTCTATCCTAATTGCTCTTCTCCGCTTCAGTATGACAGCTGTGTTTCGACTTTCGACTTACGAACGTTCGAGTCGCCATCAACAAGGAGTGTATATATAGTAGGAGGATCAAGTCGCTGTCGTAGCGAGTAGGCCTTCGACGATCCACAAGCTCAGCGGTACAGGACTTGCATAGACGACGCGACAGCTGACAGATATGATGGCATCGTCATCGTCGACAGCGACGGAGACAGTGGGGATGGCAGAGATGTACGACCAGTTAACGGTAACATGGGAGGATATCCTGGGCATGGAGTATATGCACCATGGCTTCTATAGCCCAGATGTTCAAACTTCGACCTCCGACCTTCGATCTGCTCAGATTCGTATGGTCGAAGAGTGCCTCCGGTTTGCCGGTGTTCCGGGTAATCTTTGTCACCAATTTCTCACTTTGTTTATATCAGTTTCGATTGCTTTCTTGAACCGGCAAATCGGCAATGCAATAAGTAGCTTCGAAAGTGAGTAGTAAATCTGGGTAGCGGTGAGCCTTATTCGGTTAAAGCCTAAAAACCAACCGAAAATTTCGGGTTTTAATTTTTTTTCGGTTGTTTTGCTTTTTGATTAATTCGGTTCTTACTTCTGTTTTCTGATATTTTGGTTTTGGTTTCGTTTTTTAAAATAATTGAAATCGAATAAAAAATTTTGGTTTTCAATTATTTTAGTTTTCTTTTAATTCTATTCTATCTGGATTTTAATTTTTAATTTTGATTTATTCGATTCAATCATTTTTAATCGAACAAACCAAATACTCATCTATTCAGTCATTTTTTGAATAAAAATGGCCAAATCACTAAAATGGCAATGGTTTAGTGAGATCAATGGTTTTGTGACAACAAGGGCTTGGGTTCAAATTTTTACATCCTCAAACTATTTTTGTGTTTATTTCAAAGAAAGTTCGATTCCAAAGCCAGTTCCACCGAGGCCATCTCTCTAGGTTGATTAGGGTAGGATAAAGCCCTAAACCTTGGAACAACTGGTGGGGGTGGTTCCAAGAATTGGAACCAAACCTTACCCAATAATAAATTGGGTAGCGTCGGTACAAGCCTTGGATTTTGAGTAAAACCTATCCATTTGCTTGCCCTAATAATTAGACAAATAGCAAAGGAGAAATTGGTGGACTGATTTTCTACCCAATGCTACATAGTTGCTTGTATGTATTTGGAGATTTCCCATCTTATTATGTACAAGGAGGCACATAACAATATGATATCAGAAAATCTTACAACCAATCAACTGGTATCATACAAGAGGTGACCAATCAAGTGCTATTTATCAATGTTTTCTTTAACTACGTACTATAATTGAGGGTGATGCACAAATTATTACTAACCTTCTGTTGGTGGTACACTCTAAACCACCTACCATCTCCATACTGTGATTGCCAATTGTAGAAGCGAGTTGCTCAATCAGATATGCTCCCCGATCAGTGAATTTTGTGGCACATACACTTGCCAAATTTGGTCTTACATTAAACCGTCCTCACATATGGTCTCAAGTTCCTGATTTCTTTAGATCTTCTATCGTATCTGATTTTTTTAGCATAAATTAAAACGTGCTTGTTTTGATCCTTTAGATTTCCATGCAGGGGTGATCATGAAACACCACTTTGATGTTTGTGACATATTTAAAAGTAAAAAATAGAATACTCTTCTCACTTTGTTAGAGTACTCTTTTTTAGTTTTGCTTTAATTGTGTAGGAATCAGCTCTAATAGTTTTTTGTTCAATATCCGATTTTCTGCTTTTGGAAATAACAAGGTATTTAAGCGAGAAGAAGAAAAAGAAGAGGGAGAGGAGCTCCTCGTTTTGTTTTTCAACTGAACATATCTTATTCAATAATTCAATTCAAGGGAGAGAGAGAGAGAGAGTGTGTCTTGCAGAGTTTTGCTTTTAGGAAATTTCATTGCAAAGAAAAGGATGTGTGGTTATATAAGGTAAGCTTTACATTATATTTGCCAGTAGAGAAATTTTGACTATTGGGTTGAAATAATTTAAACCAATGTTTTAAAAACCCACTCAATCAAAACTGCTTTGGCCACTGATTTTCAAGTTAGTGATTTAATTGTCTGGTCCAAACAGATGGCCCATTGTAATTTTAAAAATAAAAAAAATAATTAAAACAAAGAAAATAACCAAAAACCATTGTCTGAATTGAATGTGTTGACGGTTGAACCGCCCCGATCCGATGACCAAAACCAATTACCTGAATGATTTCTGGGCCGAACGTGGTTAGTGCATTTGATAAAAATAAGCAGAATTATCTCGTGAGATTTATCATTTGTCTTGGTTGGGTAATCTTTATCGTTAACATAAATATCTTAATAAAAAATGTAAAATGCAATAAATGTATTATCAAGTTTCTAATCACTTGGCATTGTTATTATTGATTTAGACACCCACATTCGTCAACATGCTCAAGAGTGAACTTAGGAGAGTCATGAAGTTAACTCGGCAATTAGCAAGCTGTGGTTGGACCCAATACACACTTGTTCTCATGAGATATTAATTATCATCTTCTCTACTCAATCTGCAGCTAACAAGCATGGCCTTCTAATCCACGTGGCAGATCTTTTTAGCAATAGAGTGTTGAACTGGAAATCAGGTGGACTGAGTCAAACCAGTTCGACTAATGGCTAGAGTAATAGCTCCACCAGTGGTGCCTATTCAATCTATTTACACAGTTGGGAGACAGGGGAAGTCAAAGTTCAAACCAACTCCATTTATACCCAGCTTATTAATTATTTATTCATTATTTGCAACCATTTATACCCTGTTGGGGATTGGACAAGGATTTGATGCATTGGATTTGGTTCATCTCTATTATATTTCTACTTTGACACACATTCTTGAGAAATGGGTTTCGAATTTGCTTTCTTTTTCCTTACTCCATTTTTTTCGTTTATTATTTTTATTATTATTATTATATGATTTATATATATGAGGAGATTGAATTGCAGATGATTCGATGAAGAAGCCAAAAAACATAGTTGATGTTGGGTGTGGAACGGGGGCCGACTCCATACACCTAGCGAGGAAATATGGGGCCCAATGCCATGGCATCAACTTGAGCCCTGTCCAAGTACAAAGGGCTCAAGCTTTAGCAGCTGCCCAAGGATTATCAGATAAAGTATGTGAGCCTTGTCTTCTTCTATTCAAAATAGTACATGTGCCATGCTTCCTTTATCTACTTTATATAAAGCATATATTTGTCCTGAGTTTGTCTTATCTGAGAAATATTTCTTGAGAAACACTTAATCGGATAAGTTCACTTATCCATATTCTCTTAATTTCTTGGGAAACACTTAATTGGATAAATTCACTTATCCATATTCTCTTAATTCTGAGATAAGTTATATAATGATTCTTTACTCATAAAAAGCTTATGCTAGAAAAGTTTTATTAATTTTTCCCTAAATAGAAAAGTTGCTTACCAACCTGAGAGATGGATATCAAAAAAACTAATTTTACTGTAAGGCCCAGAGTTTACCGAGAAAAGAATACTATAAAATTGGTTAATGGAAATGATGGACGGGCCCAAATGCCATATATTATAGTTAATACTTGATCTTATACTAGATGAATAACAAGCCGATAAAAAAATGCATACAAACTACATAGGTGTATTTTCAGAATTTTGAATGTAAAAAGCCATCCGGTTATGTGATTGATCTTCGCACTTGTCTTTCTCCAAAATTGGTTACTTTCTATCTCATGTAAATTTAGAAAAGGGGTAAAGAAAGTTTGCATAGTATATTTAACAGTTGATAACACACTTAGTAGGTGTCATTCCTAGTTGCGGATGCTATGCAACAACCATTTCCTGATGGGCAGTTTGATCTAGTTTGGTGCATGGAGAGCGTGGAGCACATGCCTGATAGAAAGAAGGTATTTTATCATCATCTTTCATTCAATATTCTCTAATTAGATGCCTAAATGAACAATAGAGAAATTTTTGATCTCATAAGGGTGTATATAGTTCATTTGAGATTCAATGGTAGTTTTCAATTAGGTTTTAATTGAAAATGCATGGGACACACCAATTTGGAACATCTATGCTTATTTAACCATGTCATCTCATTGTTTGGCATAAATGTTGCATGGTTCATAGCTCTTGAATTGTAGTGATATTTTATTTTTTTCATGGTTTTCAAAACCTGATTAGACCGGATGGTTGGACCAGAAAAACCGGGAACCGATTAGGTGATCGGTTCCGTTTTTCCTCAAAACCGGATTTTTGTCAAAAAATGTTGATTTGGTGAACAAACCACTGATCCAGGCGATTGAACCGTTTTTTAATTTTTTATTTTTTTGTCAGAACAGGCCAACCGTTTGGTCTGAACGGTCAGACCATTTGACCCAAAAATCAGACCCCTGACTGGTTCGTTGTCCGGGTCGATTTTAAAAACCTTGATTTTCTTTATATACCCAAATCCTGATAAAAAAGAACTCTCCACTGTATACAGTTATTATGAATTGTAAAGACAGCACTCAATTTACTATTAATATCGTGTACTTGTAGTCTCCAAACATCATCAAATCCTGATCTACAATAGAGAAATTTCACTTCAATATAAATGAACCCAAGCATTGATCCTTCATTTATTGCTCTAATTTATAGTTTGATTTTATCATTGTGTTGCAGTTTCTGAGTGAGTTGGTCCGGGTGGCAGCCCCTGGGGCCACTATAATAATAACAACATGGTGCCATAGAGATCTCTCCTCCCCAGAGGACTTGTTGAAGCCAGAAGAGGAGAAGCTATTGGACAAGATACATGATGCTTTTCATATACAATCTTGGTGTTCAGCTGCTGATTATGTAAAACTACTTCAATCCCTCTCATTCCAGGTATTCACATTTCCACATGGAGAATCCATTTTCCTTGGCCTTAATTCTCAGTACTATGCATTTGTTATAGAGAATAAGGTCTTCCTTTTCCCATTTTAATATCTATTGAAAATATATATTCTCTAAGAATAATATCTACCCCCCTCCCCCCACACAAGAAAAAGAAGCAAAAAAAGGTCAAATTAGAGTATTTGTGTAGCTAATGAACCCATGCATGTGATCTGTAATGAAGTAGCTCATGCATTCTCTACATTGTGCCTAAGGATGGAAACAGGTCAATCATTATTTGTCGGGGTCATGGTTTTCAAAACCAGACTGGACCAGATGGTCGGACTGGAAAAACCAGGAAACGATCAGGTGACCGATTCCATTTTTCCCCAAAACTGGATTTTCTTAAAAAAACGTTGATTTTGATCAGCAAACCGCTGAACCGGACAGTTAACCGTTTGAACAGTTTGAATGGTTTTGACCATTTTTTATTTTTTTTTTAATTTCTTTTTACTTTTTGTCAGAATGGGCCGACTGTTTTACCCGGTAACTGGACCCCTGACCGGTTTGGCCTCTGAATTGGTTTTAAAAACCATGTAGGGCTAATATGAAGTCGGAGCCAAACCACCTGATTTATCCTCAACCTAATTGAATATATGAATAATACAATGAGGCAGAATCATGTATAAAAAGAACATTCTAAAAGAAAGAAGAGGAAAGAGGTGAAATAGAAAGATCATTATACAATATGCTGGTCCTAGCTAGCTATCTAGGGCCTTGGGAGCTACAATGCCTAGATATCAACATGTACACAAAAATTGGGAAAAGAGATACAACTCTCCAATCCCTAAAATCTTGGACAAGGATATATTGTATAGAAAGATCATTATACAATGCAGAATCATATATCATACTTTTGCATCTAGTTTTGAAGCTGTCTGTACATTTTTCAAGACTTTTCTCTTGCCAAAATAATTTAACACTATATAAGATTTCCTTATATCATGACACTGGTATGCTAAGGATGTATGGATAGCCAGGTAACATAGCTTGAATGGGATGAAGTGGATGTGGATCTGGATAAGATGTGCTTCAACATTTTTGTACATATTTGAACTAACAGGTGTTGTAAACTGTTGTAACCAAGGATCAAAGTACGTACTGAATATCGTATCAATAAGCTTGAATATGGATACGGATATAGATATACCCGCATGGTTACAGCGGAAAGATATAGATATACTTGGGGAAGTTGCTATAAATCCCCCAAATTCATTGAAAACACTAAATTTAAGGTTGAATTAGCCACAATTAAGGTACAAGTAGATAATAAATGCATATTTTAATGGTACACATGAAGAAATACATCACAGTTAATATAGCAAGATATGCATATATAATCATATAATTTTATTCATAATACATCAATTAAAAGTTCAAAAGACATTATATTAGAATTTTACATGCACAAAGTCATTGTTATGTTTTTTTTATTTATTTAATCCAAGACACATATTATATGTAACTATTATATTTTAATTACTAAATCAATTATTTACTATTTTATTATTTTTAATTTTTTAGTGTTAGTAAAAAATGCTACCTTAATATTAGATTTTTCAAATATTTTGTAGACAACATTTTTTATTTTTGCAATTAAATTATAAATATGTTGTTATTTAATCTAAATTAAAATATTAATTAATCATTTATAAAAATATTTAATTTTAACTTAAAATCTCTGGGATACATAAGTATGGATTGGTAGATTATCCATTTTGTTAATATTTATAAAATACTAATTTTGAAGATTATTATTTTTAATATTTAGTTAAACATAAATATACTATTATTTATTTGGGTTGTGTTTGGACGACTTATGTTCAAATCTCACCAATTGCAAAATTGTATTTTTGATAAAAATATTTAGTGGTACAAAATTCGAAATTCAAAATTCAAATATTGGGCTTGGATTAGGGGTGAGCGCTGAAACCAGAAAACCGAACCAAAGTTTTGGTTTCGGTGATTTTGGGGATCGGTTCGGTTTCGGTTATTTATATCGATTTCTAAGGTTCGGGTGTCGGTTTTGGTTACAGATTAATTTTTGTAGCTTGACAAGTTTTGTTTTCCCTCTTCTTTCACACTAAGCTCAACCGAAACCCTATTTCTTCACCGACCAAATTCGAGAAGTACCGCTGTATTAAAACTTCATTTCAGCAGTGACGAGTGAGCTAACAAACTTCAACCCAACACTGAGCTCCCTCCAAACGAACCTACCTTCATCTCTGGCACCGGTAGGCAACAGTCCAGTCTCATGTACATTAATATAATAGGAATATGGTAGCTTACTAACAAATATTCATTCTAGCTAATGTCATTCCTAATTGTTGAATTGTCCAATTTAATTGATTATCCGTGACATAAGCCACATTTATCTACACATTATGTACATACACATCAGTCAGCACACATATACATGATTTTTCCTTCATCACAATGGCAGGATATCAAGGTAGTAGATTGGTCGCAGTATGTGACTCCATTTTGGCCTGCTGTAATCCGCTCTGCATTATCATGGAAGAGAATCATCCCACTGCTTCGAAGTGGTATGCTTGCATTTCATCACATTCTCTACTTGTAATCTGCCTTTTTTCTTTGTTATTTATCAGTCTATGAAATGTGTGATTTTGAATTCATTCAGGATGGGAAAGCATAAAGGGACTGTTCAACATGCCATTGGCAAGTGAGGGATTCAAGAAGGAGGTCGTCAAATATGCCATCATTACTTGTAGAAAACCAGAGTGAATTACCAAAAGGATCTCTCTCTTCCTACCTGTGTGTTATGCTGGCTTCTTGCTTTTGGTGGATTAAAATGTTTTCATTTGATTAGGGATAGGTTTATAATTTCTATCTTTTTATTTTTGAATCTTGTCTTTAACTTACTGGAACTTTCTCTATGGTAATTTATGTCGAAGACATGTTGTACTCATGGATGTATGATTTCTTGGGTATCACTTCAGTTGTAACAAAGCACTAGGTTCGTTCTCTCAAATGATAGAAGCCTTTAAAATGAATGCCCAAACGGCCTTTACTTGGCTCTTACCACAGTTGGACCTTTTGTCTAACCACCTCTTCATCTTCATTCACGTCTAGACCTTAAACCCTAAAATTCATGTTAAAAATGCATTTGATTGGGTACATATCTTCATGCCCACTACTCTTTACCCACATTCTATCCGTCATGAATTGCACCCATACATCACCGTCTTGTAATGTGAGATTTGCAGCTGCTGTATACTGAGAGTAGAGTGTGAATAGATCAAATTTTGTGTGCCCAAAAAGACTTAAGCTCAGTTATGTATAAATATATTCCAAGGAATTGTAATATATCTGCTCACACCTTATCGTAAAAAGCTAATACTGCATTTGACATTCCTTATTTTAAGGACTTATTTCCTTTTTATAGTTAAAATGCTATAGCTGAGTTTTTAACTGTAAAATGGAGATAAGTCCTTAAAATAAGGAATGCCAAATGCAGCCTAAATCTTTTGTAAATGACTATTTCTGGTGGGGCAGCCTTCCGGTTTGTATTCAACAATTTATAGCTTCTTTCTTATAATATAGTGTTATTTTATCTATCACAAATAAAAAAGAGATAACATATACTATACATTACCTTCTACAATTGGGTGCTTGAAGCAGCCTGGCATTTTTATCTAAATGTAGGAAAATTTAGGAAAGAATATTATGTACAGTGGTTATACAAAATAAACAACATAATTATGAGAGTGTAGGAAAGAATATCAGGGTTCAGTTCATCGCAAAGTTGTCCAACTCCCAACTCAAGCCAGCCCTTATCAGTCATATTTTAATTGACAAATTTGGGTTTTAATATCAGTTTGGTCCGGGATACTCCTGTTGTTGTTTGTTTTGTATTCCTTGTATCAGAGTGTGATTTTTGTGTTTTGTTGTTTTCTCACATGATTTATGCCTACATAAAAAAATACCCACATGAATGAATTTGGATCAGCTACCAATACATCTGCTAGCATAAAAAATACCCACGTTCCTACGCAATCAGTCATTGCAGCCGTACTCCACCCTATATAATTGACTCTAAGGTATTTGGAAAGCGCATAAGTGCCATATAAGATAAAAGACTTTTTATGAAGAAATTAATAAAGTTTTATTGATTGACCAGATATGTTTTTTAAATAAATTGTAAAAGTAGTTTACCGGACAAAAAGTTCAATCTTTTTGGCCAAATTGTCCCTCCTTAAAACCCCCAAAGATTGTCTTTCTGTCCTATTGTAGGGGTGGCCATGAGCTGAGCTTTTGATGAGTTATTCGAGATTGGTTCGGCTCGGTTTAAACTGAGCTTCGAGTTAAGTTCAAGCCAGATATATAGGCTCATTTGCTAATCGCGCCGAGCTCAAGCTCAGTGAAGCTCAGCTCGTGAGGCTCGTGAGCCTAATCGAGCTTAGTATAATAAATAAATATTTTTTATTACATATATACATACAACATACATATACATATAAATATATATAATAAATATTTTTTATTATATATAATAATATTTTTACTTTTTATGTATAATAGTAATAATTTTTATATTTCTTAATTTTTTGTATATAAAATAAAAAATATTTTTATATTTATAATTTTATTTTTTAGAAAAAACTTGGCTTGCAATCAAACTCAAGTCGAGTAGAGCTCGAACTTGTGAGCTTTGAACCAAGTCGAGCTCGAGCTCAAGCCTTTAGCTCAAATCAAGCTTGAGCCTAACACAATTTCAATGAGCTAAGCTCAAATAGCCAAGTATTCAGCTCAGTTCGGCTCGAATCCACCCCTACGTATTTGATAACTACTTTGTAATGCATTAACAAGCCGCCTCAGACCATCTCTCTCTCTCTCTCTCTCTCCAAAGGATCCTTAGAAATAAACACATTTCTGTTTCTGGCTTCTGTACAGAGATCGTTTCCTAATATTGCAATTTCAGAGGTGATATTTTTTTTTTGTGCTTCTTCTTCCTCTTTTTCTTTGTTTTTTTTTTCTTGATTTTCTTTAATTATTTCCTTTGTTTCCTGCTTGGGTCATACAACGTGACATCGATTTCTTGGTTGCTGTTAGGGAATTAATATAAGGATTGGTTATGAGTTGTTATGATAAGGGTGATGTTGAATAGAGTTACATTAGGAGTTCTCAATAAGATAGAATTTGTTATGTTATGATAGAGTTTGAAATGGATTAAGATAGACTACATAGAGTCCTAGATGGAGTCTAAGAGTTTGAGTTTCTATAGGTTTGATGTCTGTTTTAATCTATAAATATGATGTAATTATCATATTCAATCAATGCATTCTTTCTAGCCTTGAATTCTAATTTGGTATCAGAGTCAAAAGTTCAACCTTGAGGTCTTTCAAATTGTTCTCGTGTTTCCGGCGGGTGGCTGACATCTTAGCCCCCCGTTGGCTGCCTTCTTGTTTAATTTTAGTTTTCCATTCATATTTCTTATTATAGCCAATTCTTGTTTAGTTTTGCTTTCACTTTTACTTTAATTATGTTTATCGCATTCACCCATCTTCCCAGTTTCCAGCCCATAACCATCACCCACTATTCGTTGTTATAAAATTGCATGTTGAAAATGAAGACTGGTGTTTCCTTCATCACACCATCGGAACTCAGAATCAGTTCTATTACAATCATATATCTGGCTTCATTCATCATGCCATCATTAAGAACCTACAGTATCACACTCGTTACTTTTATACATCGGATTAGGAAAATCGACCTGTCAGTTTTCTTTTACAACTCCTCCCAAACTGGAACCCATGTTCTCTACACCTTTGCATTATAGGTGACTTGGGCCAAACCTACGATTACTAGATGCTAGAGCATTACCTCTCTAACCCAAAAGTGTAAGCTGTACTCTTGGTAAGTGATCATTCTTATGCGGATACCCACTCAATGACAACAGGAGATGGGATCGTGGGCCCAATTTGTAGAGAAAAGCACTGCATATCAACCATGGATTTGAGTCGATTCGGCCCGTCTTCCTCCGAGTTGATATCCGGTTTGATGGTCAGACCCTGGCGATCCACCCAGTTCAATTGAGAATCCAGATTGCGTACCAAGGACGTGCGGACGTCATGCGGGTTCCCAAGCTCGCAGACGTCAAAACACGCGCTCAACTGGTTTCACCTCGAGAGGCGAGCAATCGGTTTCTACGAAAACCGTAGGATTGCATCAACCTGGACCATCTAAGATCGGTTATTGCAGCTACAAATAGGGGCCTTGGGGTCCCATTTTTGTCACCTTGCTTTAGAATTGTCGTGATTTGGAGCTTGCACTTTGGTCTCCAGGTCAGTGGTGTCCACTCTTGTTTCCGAGGTCGCTTTCTCTTCTCTTCGGGTAAGCTTTCTTCGCTCCATTTTGATTCCTTGTTCCAGTATGAGTAGTAGTAGTTTCTCCCTTAGCGATAGTGAGTCTAACCGAGCTGAGGAATCCTCCTCGGCTCATGACTATGAGTCTGGTCTAGCCAAAGTAACCTCCTCGGCTCAAGAACATGAGGTCGGTGTGCTAGAGGTGACCACCTCGACAAGCCCTATAGGCTCCAGTCCGACCGAAGATAACCCCTTAGTTTGGGAGCGTAAGTCATCTGGTAGGAAGGCGTCGTCCTCCGAAATGCCAAAAAAGATTTGACCTCCAAACGTGCCTGAGGTCCAGATAGGTTTGGTCCTTCAATTCTGTTGCCTGAAAGACTCCAGACTTTAATCCTCAAGTATAAACTTCCTGACTACCTTGGGTACTCTATCCCCTTGGAGGGATATCCTTGGCAACACGACCTTGACGAGTTCACAGTCTTTGAGAAACAACTCATTGCTAGGCTGTGCTTCCCTCTTCAGCCCTTCATTGTCGAGGTCCTCAAGTACTTCAACATTACCGTGGATCAATTGCACCCAAACTTGGTTCGAGCCATAGTAGGGACCATTTCTGTTTTCCATGACTTCGACATCCCATTGAGTCTAGATACCTTTAGTTCGCTTTGTGGTGTCAAGAAAAACTCTGCTGGCCTTGTTCAAGAGGATAAGTGTAGTTATTACATCTCCTACCGGCCTGGAAATAAAATCCTCCATGAGTACCCAAACAAGGTCCCCGCTTGGAAAAGGAGGTACTTCACCATACTGCTGAAGGGGGGTGACCTTTTCCGACGCATTGGCAGACCTACATTAAGGACCCCGAGGACAAGCTCAATGAGGAATAGCAAGAGGAGATGCACTTCTTGGTTGACCTCGAAATATCGGCAAAGGAGTACTTGGCCGAGAAGATGCTCATTGTAGCTGGGCTGAGTCCTCTAGGTAGGTTACCACCTTGGCATGCACATGCTTTATTTTCTCTTTTGATTACTTCAACTAATTTGGTGGCTAATCTCTGTAGGAACCATGTCTAACATTCCTTCCACCGAGCTCTTTGGGGACATGAAGAAAAGGAAAAAGAGGACCACATCCCGAAGTAATGCTCCCCATCAGGCCGCTAGTATGCCAACCACTGAGCCCACAACCACTAGCACCAGGGAAACTCCGGTCATCAACCTAGTCGAAGAAGACCACGAAAGGAGTCTGCCTCCCCCACCTGAAGAGGTCCGATCCCCCACCCGCCAGGTTTCTACTCTCGGAGTTGGCTACTCCAGCGAGGACCCCAAGGTGGTCCCAAGCATCATGAACCTTCAATCTAGCCTTCTAAAGAGTAGGGATACGGTCTTCCCACCGAGGTCCAAAAGTATATCGGGATGCCTGTCGAACAACTATTGGCCAAGGGCACGCCAACATCACTTTTGGAAGTTGTTGCATTTCTTGACGAGCTCGAGTGCATCCACTTTCATGGTGGGCCAATAATATCCTTGCCTTAGCGCTTTTTGGGCAAGCGCCTTGGCCCCCAAGTGTCCTCCGCAAAGGCTTTCGTGGATCTCATAGAGTACCCGGTCTG